CAGTGCCCTGACAGGGGCCGGGAATCGAACCTGCACCCAAGGTATGAGCCCCTGACTGGAATCGAACCCGGGACCCTTTGGTGCAAGGGCCAGTGCTCTATCCATTGAGCCAAACTGGCCAGAGCTTTTTAAAAAATATATATTTTTATTGATTTCAGAGAGGAAGGGAAAAGGGGAGAGAGAGATAGAAACATCAGTGATGAGAGAATCATGGATGGGCTGCCTCCTGCACGCCCCGCACTGGGGATCGAGCCCACAGCCCGGGCATGTGCCCTGACCGGGAATCGAACCGTGACCTCCTGGTTCATAGGTTGATGCTCAACCACGGAGCCACCCCTACCAGGCAGTTGGTAGGTTTGAACAAAACACAACGCAGGTTTTTTGGCTGCCAGACATCCGCAGCTACGCTCACCTCTGGTTTATGATGTGGGCAGATGGGTGGCGGGACATAGAGCCCAGGAAGACGCGACCCCGTGAGGAGAAAGGAGAGACCACCTGGCGGCAATCCCCGGGGTTGCGGGAGCCCCTGCCTCTGGGCCGGGGTGGGCATTCCTTCTCCCCACGGCCCTGGACTTGACTCCTGGCTCAGCCACTGCCTGGGAGTGTGAGCTGGGGCACGTCCGGGTATCTCTGTGAGGCTCAGTGGCCTGGCCCCTAAACTGGAGGCAATGACCTACCTGTCAGAACGGTTCGGGCCATCAAAGGAAGCAGGTGACCCGGGCGGCCCGATAAATGTTTGCTGAAATGGCGAAATCGCAGTCTGTGTACAGCAAGGTCTCTTATCTCCAAGGGCGTTGAACCTCACAGTCACCTGGTGGGGGAGAGGGGGCGGGGATTCAGGAGGCCTCCTGTCTCACCCCCCGAGGGGAGGGGGGCAGGCCCGGTGACGGGGGCTGACAGGACCGGCGAGTCCCCTGGACCCGGAGTGTGGGCAGCAGGGCTGTGGGGAACTCGGCGGTGGGCAGATGTGCCTGCATCTCTCCGGGGCCCGCACTGCTCCCCACTTCCCAGGGGCACCCCTTCTCCCAGGCCCCCAGGGTAACCCCCCGGGGAACCGAGGGCCCAGAAAAGGCACGAACAGGAGGAACAAAGGCACCAGGGAGGAGCCGGCTCATTCTACTCTTTCTTTCTTTTAAAAAAAATTATTTATTTATTACTTTTTTGTTGTTGTTGTGAATCCTCACCCGGGGATATTTTTCCATTGATATTTACAGAGTGGAAGGGAGTGGGAGAGACAGAGAGAGAGAAACATCAGTGTGAGAGAGATACATTGATTACTTGCCTTCCGCACACCCCCCTCCACCCCCCACTGGGGCCTGCAACAGAGGTTCGTGTCCTTGACCGGAATCGAACCCATGACCCTTCCGTTCATGGCCGACGCTCTATCCACTGAGCCAAACCGGATAGGAGGTTCTAGTCCAGCCGTTCTCAACCTGTGGGTCGCGACCCCTTTGGCGGTCGAACGACCCTTTCACAGGGGCCGCCTCAGACCATCCTGCATATCAGATATTTACATGGTGAGGTGTTACTCTGCTAAATGTTTCTTCCTTTCATTTATCAACATCCTAGAGGCCCAGTGCACAAATTCGTGCATGGGTGGGGTCCAGCCTGCCTGCCCCAATCTGAGTGGGGGGCAAAGGAGGAGGGGCTGGCCATGGGGAGTGCGGCAGCTCTCACGGTTTATTACACGCAATCTGCAGGGATGCTGTTTCCACACTTAATGGCGATCCCATCCCGAGTCACTGTCTGTTTCCCATCTTCCCCGGCAGCACAGCCACCCCGAGCTGGCGCTGGGCCATAAATACCAGGCCCCCTAAAGCCACTGCCGCCTTCTAGAGGGTGTCCCAAAATACCACGGGCGACTCCGGGGCCTGCAGCTAACCTGCCTGTGCGGGGCGGCCTCAATGAGCTCATTGGAAAGCCGTGGTTTCCACGGTCACCTTTGCTCTCCCTTCCCTTTCTTCCCAGCTCCCAGAGGCGGCTCCTGGGCGCTGAGATCTGGGGTCACGTGCCACCTGGGCCTGAACAAGTCTGTGCGGCTGCCACCCTCCCGAGGGGGCAGAGCGTGGGCTTCCCGGGGCACTGCCTTTGGCAGGCGTTTCATCCTCGCTCTTTATCGCCGAGCCCATGGGGCGAGTGACAGCGGCATCGCAAGCCTGAATGGGCTTGTCTGACGGGCCAGCTTTCATCCCGGGCACTGCTGCCCGCCTGTGAGGGAGGAAGGAACTCGGGGCGGAGGGCGGTCATTTCACACCGATTCCTGCGCTTTGGGTTCTAATGCGTCGCGTTTCGATCGCCTACCTTGCTGCGTGCCGTGAGGGAGAAGGTGGGCCTCGCGTGTGGTTAATATGTTTGTAATTGACACACACAGAGGCCCCGCTCAGCTCTGAAGCAACAGCGCTCGGAGATGACCAGCAGGTGAGGAGCTCTGCCAGGTACAAACAAGCACATTCAGAGAGTCCATGACTGCCTGGCTGATTGGCTCAGTGGTTGGGCACCGACCTAGGAACCAGGAGGTCTCGGTTCGATTCCCGGTCAGGGCACATGCCCCGGGTTGCAGGCTCGAGCCCCAGTGGGGGGCGTGCAGGAGGTAGGCGATCCATGATTCTCTCTCATCATGGATGTTTCTATCTCTCTCTCCTTTCCTCTCTGAAATCAATAAAAACATATTAAAAGAATAAAATAAAATCTGCACATTACTGTCACATTAAGAATATGAGCAAGTTACTTTGATATTAGAAATGCACTAAAAATACAAGAAAAAATTCATGTCAAAACAGAAATTAAAGCCTGGATGGTGTGGCTCAGTGGTTGAACATCAGACTAGGAACCAGGAGGTCACTGTTCAATTCCCGGTCAGGGCACATGCCTGGGCTGCAGGCTCGATCCCAGTAGGGGGCGTGCAGGAGGCAGCCAATCCATGACTCTCTCTCATCACAGATGTTTCTCTCTCTCTCTCTTTCCTCTCAGAAATTAATAAAAATATATTTAAAATAATAATAATGATGATGATGTTCATTTTTACAGGAACTACAATTAGGACGATTACACCTTGTGCCCCAGGCCCTCTAAACGGATCTCCACAGGAGGGCCGAGAATTAATTCAATTCCAGGCCACAGCCCCGCCCAACGCACCACAGGGTGGCATAACGGGGACCACGTGCCTGACGGGGAGACAGAGGAAAAGCAGACAGATGCGTTCCCACCCCGGTACTCACGCCCACGCCGATCGT